CTAGACAAACATAACACACACACACACAACACCTACAACACACAAAAAGCACGCACCACACGAAGCATACATCACAAACACACACACACACACGCACAACACTCACAATCCTGGGGCCTCCTGGAGCCTCTTCTGGTATCCAAGTCGGGCCTCCTAAGGCTTCCTGGGGGCCCTGGTACACACATCGCAAGGTGTGGCAACCCCACTTGCGCTCGAGTGCGACTTCGATGTTGCATTTCACTCCTGCTTCAAACACGCCCCTCCAGTTTTTGTATGAGCCTGGACACACACGTGCCACTTGTATAAATGTATTCGTTTTTTTTTTTTTTTTTTTTTTTTTTTTTTTTTTTTTTTTTTTTTTTTTTTTTTTTTTTTTTTTTTTTTTTTTTTTTTTTTTTTTTTTTTGTGGATTTATACACACATATATTTATATTATATTTAATTAAAAAGCACGAATCCCAAACATTGACATGTGCCAGAAATTTCGGCTCCAATGTCGACCATGCTTCCTTGTCCGTCGCAATGTGTATCCGTATTTTGTGGTCGTCGTCGCCGTCGTGTGTAGTGGCTGTGCGTAGGAATGGTGTGATTTCGATACCCCCTTTCTTACGTTATCCTCCGTGGCGTCGCTGGGTTGGGCGTGGGTCGTGGGTGCTCGGAGCCCAGTAAATTGAGAGCCGCATCTATGTGTCGTAGTCGTGAGTTGCGGGTTGCGACTCGCGATGCCCACCGCCATTTCCGCTTGAAGTATATCGTAGGCCAGTCCTCAACGCCTGCACGCTGAGCATGCTCCAGGGCTGCGTGTGCGTCGATCTTCGCCGAAAGTCTTCCCACGGTTCCAATCCGTCTTCTTCTCTGCCGTCGGCTCTTTCGTGGTTCTGCCGTCAGCTCTGTCGTGGTGGGCGGGGATGGCTGCTGCGTCGGTGCTGGCCGCTTCGCTGCCCATTACAAGCCTGAGTATTCTCCGCTGGGCGCGCCGCGCCGTAAAGTGAGGAGCATCTCGCTGGTGAGTGTCCAAGAAGAGCACCCATACATCACTGCTGCTGTGATTGTTCTATTGAAAATCTTCAAACGACTCTGGAGCGGAAAGCGCTTGTGCTTCAGCTCGTACCACAATTGGTTGAACCGCCCCCATGCTGCGGCAATTCTATTGCGCAGCTCGGTGTCGTGGAAGTCGTGGAAAATAAGTTTTCTTCCTAAGTACTTCGTGCTCTGGTCGGATCGCAATAGTTCGATTCTTTCACCGTTGATGTCGACACGAGTACTCGTTCTTCCTTCTCTCCGGCTGACGTTCATCAAGATCTTGGTTTTGTCCAGGTGCAGTGCCAGTCCACATGTTTACTTCCCGGAGCAAGCAGGACAGTTGTCGTAATTTGGGGGCGTAGAGCAAAACATCGTCGGCGAAACGCAGATTTGTGATGTCTGTTAGTGGTGCGAAGCCGAGTCGGATCCCAAATTTCTTGCGCTGCCACTCAGGTTTCACCTGTATGACCACATGCTCGAGGACAGCATTGAACAAGAAAGAGCTCAGTGGGTCTCCCTGTTTCACGCCCCGCTCGATACCGAAAGCCCTGCTGGTTGTGTCTGTCCTGACTGTTGCCGTTTGGGTGCAGCACGGTTGCTTGAAGAAGGTCATGTTTTCAGGAGGTATACGTTGTTGTCGTAAAGTTTCTCATGGTCACAGTCGAACGCCTTCCTGAAGTCGATCGGGGAGGAGGAGGAGGAGGAGGAGGAGGAGGAGGAGGAGGAGGAGGAGGAGGAGGAGGAGGAGGAGGAGGAGGAGGAGGGCCATAGTAACCCAAGATTCATCAACGATGCTGCAATTCACCCTCCTTTTTCAATTCCCCTCTCCTCTTGCGTCCTTGAGCCTTCATTTTCACCACTCTCAGCGCCCGCTGAAAGACCAGCGTCCGGCGGGCTTGCCATTCAGGCGAGAGCCCCACTTGGACATGGAATCGATCTGCATCCCTCTAGCGAGGAGTGGGTGCAGAGAAAACGTACTTAGGATCACACACGTTAGCTTCGTTTCCAGCGAAATCCCCGTTCTGAAAAAGGGCCGCCCACAGGTGCAGCGCCTGCACGAGCTTGCATTTCTGGCCATGGACTTCGGGAAAGTCTCAAGCGACTTCCCATTCCGCACAGGAGGCGCTAACGCGAGAGCCCATGTTGACAACAGTTTGCCCTCCATCCATCTAGCTGGTGCGAATTTGAATCTTCAGGGTCAGAAGTGGTGAGGAAGTTCCAGGCGAAATGCCCGCTCCGCCTTACCTACACGTTTGGGGATGCGCCATGGAGGAGTTGTTCATAAGGATATGTTAGGGATGGAGGAGAAAGAGGAGTATCATGAGGAGGACGAGAAGGAGGAGGAGGAGGAGGAGGAAAGATGATGATGATGATGATGATGCTGATGAGGATGATGATGATGATGATGATGATGATGATGATGATGATGATGATGATGATGATGATGATGATGATGATGATGATGATGATGATGATGATGATGATGATGACGATGACGATGACGATGACGATGACGATGATGATGATGATGATGATGATGATGATGATGATGATGACGACGAGGAGGAGGAGGAGGAGAAGGAAGAGGAGGAGAGGAGGAGGAGGAGGCCGGAGGAGTCAGCCTACGGCCACGTCTCAAGAATGAGATAGCTCATCGTCGTTCCACTATCCCACCGTCTCGACCAACAGGGTGGGTATCGCGCCTCATTGACAGCCGAAAGCAGCGCGGAGTGGGCAGCTATTTCGACCTAAACCAGGACCACAGAACATACCCTTGCTACGCCATCACTCAGGGGCGCATTGAGGACCACGCAGGCTTGCAGGACATTCATTCGTTGCACACTGCCATGAAGATACGTACGGCGAGCCAGCGATATACTACAGGGAGTCCTTATCACGGTGCTCACCTACAATGCCCCGTGCTCATGATCGACGTGCAGCGCTGCTGCGACTTTCAGGAGTCGAGCTGTCTTCCCTTTTTCTCTCCTTCTCATTGGGCGGTCGAAAACCCAATCTACTTTCAACGCCTTCCCACTTAATGTTTCTAGCCACTTCTTCCTGCCGATGGGTACCCCTGATCCCCACCCACATAGACCCTCAACCCGCAAACGTCACGACCGTGTGGACATTCGATTACGACACTATAAGGAGGATGCCCCACCACGGGCGGGCTTCGGCGAGACCTGCCTCCGCCACACCGCCAGACAATGGCCTAGATCAACGGCGATGTCAGGGTGATCGCAGACGGACACTTTAGCCCAGACGCTCTCCGACTGGCTTCTCCTGTCGACTTTTCCCCGCAGCATGGGTGACCACGCAGCGCAGAGGACGGCCGACTTAGACGCAGAGCGCGGCAGCCACAGCCAACGCGGGGAGGCCCCTCTGGCCCCTCGTGGGGTCAGGCGTGAGCAGGGGCATGGATGAGACATCGATCGCCGAAGGGAAGTCCCGGAGAGGTGAGAACGACCTGCAAACTCCTCTTCCCGCGTGCGGCCAGCCCGTCGTGGCACAGGTCGGCCTCGACTGGCGCGACCTGCTCCTCACCACGCTGGGGGCGTTCGTTGAGGAGTGTGCCCAGGAGGCGTCAGACCTTGGAGGATTACTTATCGAATGAGGGCGGCCTCGGTGACGTCCATGGCCAAGCCTCAACTGGTGTTCCACCGGCCTTCAGACCCTGGATTCCTAATCCAAGGGTTTCGTGTCCAATGTCCACACCGTACCACCTTCTTCTCGGGCTGACCAATGGCACTGGCGAGCCACCCGCCGTCAACGGCCAGGCCATTACTGCGTTGCTGAGGAGTGTGGCCCACAGTCTCTCCTGTGCGTCAGGGCCCTGGGGTCCACCAACCCGATTTTGCTCTCACGACGCTTGCTATTGTTCCCGCCGCTCCAACTGCGACAATGGCGCAACCCTGCCAGCGAACAGACACCACGCCAACCTCACTACCACGACTCCCACTCCGCAACTCCGACCTGGCGGCTGGAGCCAACTCCTGAGGAGGCACCGGGCCAAACCAGTGCGCGCCTACTCTCGTCGCCAGTACTCCTTACGGACCTCATGACTGCCCTGGACTTCACCTCCCAGCTGGCCGCTTGCAATCGCACTCCGCCTGCCGCCCCCTTCCGTCGGCGACAGCGGCGGGGCGGGGAGGCGGGTGGAGAGCCAGAGGAAGGAACGGGGGGCCCCGCTCGGTCGCTGCTGCCTCCGCCGCTGCGCACCTGTCCTGCCTCCCACCGCACCTCGGCCTCGGAGAGCGCCGCCTCGCCTCCCCCGCCTCGTCCCGCCTCGCGCGCCCGCCGGCCGCCACGCGCTTCGCCTGCCGCGCGCCCCAGAGCTCCCTCGGCACCTCGGAGGGCGGAGGTGGTGAGGGGAGGCCAGGCCTCGCCGAAGGAGCGCAGGACCGCGACGAGGCGGAGCGGAGCCTTCGGGGTGGATGGGCCCCGCGCTCGGGCCCCACCCGCCGCGCCGCCAGCTGCCGCTCGCCTCGCTCTCCGCCTGCATCCTCGTCGCCGCCGTGCCGTCGCTGGGCGGTGCCGCCCTCTCGTCGCTCTGCTACGCCTGCGTCTCCCTGCTGCCGCTCTCTGCGTGCCTCAGCGTTGTCCGCCGCCCAGGCTGGGAAGGCAGCCTGGGCGGGAGGAGGAAGCGCTGTGTGGATTGTACCAGTGACTTACTCTGCATGGCTCTGTGAGGCGGAGGAGGGCAAGCAGGGCGCACGACGAAAGAAGGACGTAGAACGGATGACGGCGGTCGACTACGACGGCGGCGGCGAAGCCAGCAGCCTTGGGGGGCGGGGCCGTCGCTTTCGTCCTAGTCCTCTGCGTCATCATCGTCGCCCCCCCCGTTCTCGTCGCCGTCGCCCTCGCTCTTCCCGCCTTCTCCTCGTTGCCCTGCTCGCTGCCGCTGCCGCCGCCGTCGCCCTTCGCCGCTGCCGCCGCCGCCGCGGCCGCCGCCGCCGCCGCCGCCCGCGCCTTCCACCAGGAGGAGCGCCGACGAGCCCAAGAGGCCTTCTGCCACCAGCTGGCGCGCCTCGGGTCCGCCACGGCACCGCCGCCCGCGCCAGGAGGGCCCCGCCCGCAGCAGGCTGCCTTGGGCGCCGGCTGCGCCGCGGCCAGCGGCTCCACCTTCGGCTCCGAGGTGTCGTGCAAGCGCCTACAGGCCCACCAAATACATAGTGTTCTAAGAGGCTTTAGTGTTTTGCTCGAGGTGCTCTTAGTTCTACGAGCCGTGTTTATGCTATTGGGACATGCTTTCGTTCTAAGAACATTCCGTGGTAGGTCTGTAAGAATGCTGGGACGGTTGGTCTCAGTTCAAGTCGGGGGCCCAGATCGGCGGCTACAAAGGGTGTGGTTACGCCAGGGTGTGGTTTGCGGTCTGCGTCGTTGTGGCTTGAGAGGCCTCCTCGTGGCGCGGCGGAGAACTCTGTCGAGATCCTCGCCCGCTCCCCCAGGCGCGGGTTGCAAACCACACCCTCTGCACACCACATCCTTCGGAGTCGCCACATCACGGATCCAGATCTCTGACGACTCGACTCGCTTTCTCTCGATTTCGGCCTCTGGGGCACGCTGCTGGCCCCCGGTGCTGCCGAAAAGGGGTTCGGTGCGCCAGGCTACCCCTTGGGGGAAGGGTCGGGCCCTCTGAGGAGGAGGAGGAGGAGGAGGAGGAGGAGGAGGAGGAGGAGGAGGAGGGAGGAGGAGGAGGAGGAGGAGGAGGAGGAGGAGGAGGAGGAGGAGGAGGAGGAGGAGGAGGAGGGAGGAGGAGGAGGCGGAGGCGGAGGCGGAGGCGGAGGCGGAGGCGGAGGCGCAGGCGGAGGCGGCGCGCAGCGGCGGCGGCGGCGGAGGAGGAGGGGGAGGAGGAGGAGGAGGAGGAGGAGGAGGAGGAGGAGGAGGATGAGGAGGAGGAGGAGGAGGAGGAGGAGGAGGAGGAGGAGGAGGAGGAGAAGGAGGAGGAGGAGGAGGAGGAGGTCGGGCCCTCTGCGGCCGCGGGCTTGAGACACGCCAGGGCGGCGGACGTCTGGGCAGAAGTGGAGGGTGGAGGCTCGAGGATCGAGGCCTCTGGCCGCCTGCCGCTTTCTCTGGGCTTCCTTGGGGGCCTCCTGGGGGGGAGGCTCCTCGTCGCTGCGGCTGGATTCTCTCGAGGATGTGGCCAACACGCACCGCAAGAGGGGCCCGCGGGTGGATTTCTGAAGGTCGCCGTGATGCAACCGGGGTTCTGGAGGAAAGAGGTTCTGTTTGTTTCCGCCGTCTTCTGGCCCCTGGTGGCCCCCCCCCAGGCCCCTGCGCCTCGTTTTTTTTTTTTTTTTTTTTTAATCCTGAGGCCAGAATACCAGGAAGCGGCATACACGTCAACTCTCGGAGGTCCGCGCGGATCTCTTGGATCGGCGCTACCTCTCGTTGGGCGCGCTGAACGGCTACCACGGAAGGGCGCCGTTGTCGGGCTCCATGGGGCCCTCCCTGGGCCCCTGGGGCGCGGGGCGGAATCCCGCGGAGTTGGCCTCCCGCCACGAGGTGGCCGACCTGATGCCGGACCTCCCCCCGCCAGGCGGCGACGTGACGCCGCTGGTGGACCTGCTTGTGCAGGAGATCCAGAGGCAGCAGGGCTGGGCCGCGGCAGGGGCGGCTCAGCAGGCAGCGGCGGCGGCGGCGGAGAGGTCCGCGGCGGCGGGGATGGAGCAGGAGCTCCAGCAGCTGGCGGCGCGCGAGGTCCGGAGAGGGGCGCCCTTCGTATCGACACCCCGCACCGATCCCAGGGCTGGGGGTCTGCCCTGGGCCGGCTGGGGTCGGTGTGGGCGCCTACCCCGGCGGAGCCAGCTGCGGCTGCGGCTGCGGCTGCGGTTGCGGCTCGGGCTGCCGCTGCAGCTCGGGCTGCGGCTCGGTCTCGGGCTCAGGCTCGGGCGGTGGCTGCTCGGGCTCGGGCTCGGGCCCGGGCTCGGGCGGGGAGGGCGCATGCTCCGATCGCTGGGGCCCAGGAGGAGCCTGGGCCCACGATCGGCGCGGGCGTCCGAAGGTGGGCGCCCCCCTCGGAGAGGCGCGGCTGCGCCAGGAGAGCGAGGCCGCGCGCGAGGCGGAGCACCAGCGCGTCCAGGCGTTCCTCGCCGAGGCCAGCAGGGCCCTCGCGGCGGGGCGCGGGCGCGACGAGAAGCAGCTGCTGGATTCCGAGGCCAGGGCGCGGCTGTCGGAGGAGTGCTGGCTGCGCGAGGCGGAGGTCCACCGGCTCTCGCGGCTCACTCAGGACCTCGAGGCCGGCGCCGAGAGCTCGGAGAGGAGGCTTCAGCAGCACGCGCTGGCGGCCGAACAGGAGAGGGCGGGCGCGCGGGCGCGCGAGAGGGAGCTGCTGGACCAGGTCGGGTCCCTGGAGGCCGACGCCCGCGCCGCCCACCTCGCCGGGGCTCGCGAGTGGGGCGAGGAGGCGGAGCGGAGGCTGCGGCAGGGTGCCCTGGAGTGCGACCGGGAGAGGACGGTCGCGCAGGCGCGCGAGAGGGAGCTGCTGGACCAGGTCGGGGCTCTGGAGGCCCGCGCCAGCGCCTTCTCCGTCCAGCTCGAGGGTGTCCGCGGGGAGCGCGACGAGCTGGTCAGGGAGGTCGCGCGACTGCGGGCCGAGCTGGACGAGGTCGCGCCAGGCGGGGCCAGGCCCCTCAGGGCCCAGGTCGAGAGCCTGCGGGCGGAGCTGAGCACCGTCCAGGCCGCGCGCGTGCTGGAACAGCAGCGCTTTCAGGAGTTTCTCGGCGAGGCGAGGCCTCTGGACTCCGAGGTCAGGGCTCGCCTGCTGGAGGAGTGCAGACGCAGCGAGGCCGAGAACCGGAGGCTCTCCCAGCTCGTCCAGGACCTCGAGGCCGACGCCGAGAGCTCGGAGAGGAGGCTTCAGCAGCACGCGGTGGCGGCCGAACAGGAGAGGGCGGGCGCGCGGGCGCGCGAGAGGGAGCTGCTGGACCAGGTCGGGTCCCTGCAGGCCAGTGCTTGCTCCGCCTCACTCGCGGGGTCCCGTGAGGAGAACGAGCATAGACACCTGGAGATGAGGCTGCAGCGCGGTGCCCTGAGCGCCAGTCGGGAGAGGGCGGGCGCGCAGGCGCGCGAGAAGGAGTTGCTGGACCAGGTCGGGGCCCTGGAGGCCCGCGCCAGTGCCTGCTCCGTCCAGCTCGAGGGTGCCCGCAGGGAGCGCGACGAGCTGGTCCGAGAGCGTGCCGAGCTGCTGAGAGACCGCACCGAGCTGCTCGCGGAGACGCAGCGGCTGCGAAGCGAGAACGAGGCGCTCTCGCGGGAGGCCGAGTCCTTCGGAACGAGGCACGCGGACTACTGCCATCTCCAGGGGGAGGTGGCGGCCCTGCGCGGGGCGCAGGCCGACTGCGACGAGCTCCGGCAGGAGCCGAGTAAAACACTGCACAGCCATGGAGTTCCTAAACAGCACCGCTGCATGAGAAGACACACGTTGAGTCACTCTCGAAATGCGCGTGCACTGCACGCGGGCACGGCACGGCACGGCACACGCACGGCACGGGCACGGGCATGGTCACGGCACGCAAGGAGGAGGAGGAGGAGGAGGAGGAGGAGGAGGAGGAGGAGGAGGAGGAGAGGAGGAGGAGGAGGAGGAGGAGGAGGAGGAGGAGGAGGAGGAGGAGGAGGGGCGGCACATTCTTTGCCTTCTGAAAACCGGGCGCCGCACGAGCGCGGCGCGCCACGCGGGCACGGCACGACACGCGCAGCGCACGGCACGGCACGCTGGCGCCACATTTGTCGCCTTCTGGAACGCGGGCACGGCACGTGCGCACGGGCGGTACGTGTTTCGCATTCTGGAGCGCGGGCACGGCACGGCACGGCACGTGCGCACGGCACGACGCGGCACGGCACGGCGAGCTGCCAGGAAGTGCATCTCCCGCATTCTAGAACGCGGGCACGGCACGGCACGGTACGCGGGCGGCACACGCGTCGCGTGCTAGAGCGCGGGCACGACGCGGCACGCGGGCGCGGCATCCGGGCAGCACTTTGCTTGCATACGAGATCGTGGGCACGGCACGGCACGGCGCTGGAGCACGGCACAGCCCGACACGGCACGGCACGCGGGCGTTAAAGATTAGTGGCCTGCGGCCCATCCCGCCGCCGTGCTTGGGTTGTGGGTATGAAGCCTAATTTCATATTGGATGTTCGTTGGGATCTCGTGGGAGGCTTCTCCAGGGCCTGTTGAAGACAGTTTTGAGGCCTCTTGGGGGCCGTTTGCGGACCTCTTCGGGCCTCTTTTTGGCCTTTCGGGGGCCTCTTGCGGGCTCTTGTGGGCTTCTTGGGGCGGACTTCACGGATTGTCAGTTTGTGTTCCCTCGCTGGGGCCTCTTTTGGGGCCGTCTTGGGCCGTTTTGGGCACCTCTTGGGCCGTCTTGGGCTGGTTTGGGGCCCTCTTGGAAGCCTCTCGGACCGTCTTGGGGCGGTCTTGGGGGCCTCTAGGGCCGTCTGGGAGCGTCGGGACGCCGACAAGGCGAGAACGCCCAAATCCTCCAAAAAACTTTTGGGAAATCGCAAGTTTTGGCCACTCGGGGCCCTCTTGGGGGCCTCTTTGGGTGTCTTGGAGGCCTCTTGGGCCGTCTGGGGGCCACCTAGAGCGTCTTGGAGCGATTGTTCGACGACTCGGGGCTATCTCTGGCCCGTCTTGGGGCCCTCCCGGGCTCGAAAGTCACGCGACAGCTTTTCCGGGAGCCCTGGAGGCACGCGGGCAGCCCCGGGGGGCCCGCCCCTGAGAGACTCTTCAGGAGCGAGGACTGAGGCTTACTCGCGGGTCGTTGAAAGTAGGTCCTTTTGGACCCCCAGATCCCAATCTATTTCAAGTGCCTTCCTGCTTCAAGAATCGACACGCTTTCGCTGTGTTTTGTCATTCTCTGGGGGGCCTGGACCCAATCAATCTAATCCGCCTTGCTACTTCATGCTCTTGCCTACTTCTTCCGGCCGACGTGTAGCGGATCGGGCCCCAGACCCGAGGACACGATTTCCGTGCCCGGCGGCACGGTGGCGGACGCTTTTGGCATCCTGCGGGCACGGCATGGCATGCGTGCCGCCCCTGAGAGACTTTTCAGGAGTGAGGACTGAGGCTTAGCGGATTGGGCCCCGGACCCGAGGACACGACCACTCCGTGCCCGGGCGGCACGGTGGCGGACGCTTGTGGCCTCCTGCGGGCACGGCACGGCACCGCGTGCACGGCACGGCGCGCGGGCACGGCAAAATCACGGCGCGCGGGCGGCACATTTTTGTCGCATGCCGGAGCGCGGGCACGGCACGAGGCGCGGGCACGGCAGGGCAGTACACTCCGGCGGCACGCTCTTCGCACGACAGAGCTGTTCGGGGGTGGACAGACCTCCCACCCTGACACGTCGAATAGTGAATTGGCCGTTTTCAGTTCGCGAGAGGGCGTCGCGGCCGTCATTTTTGCGGGTCCAGAGCCGCCGGTTTCGGTCCCAGGCCGTTTTCACTAAGGGGAGGTTTACTAAAGGGAGATTTGTCCACCGCCGAGTTGTGTTAAGAGGCGCGATGACCATGACCAGCCGTCGCCGATCCGCGAACAGGATCCACGAATTGACGATGGCCAAGCTGCGCGACGACCACGATTGACACCGACGTGTACGCGCTCAGCCTTGGTCATGGCCCTTGTTGTTCAGAGCCCCGGATCATCAGGGCTTACTCGGGTCAGGGGTAACTCGGGTTTCGCGCCCTGGGGGCGGCGGCGGTTCCGTCGATGCCGTCCAGGCGTCGATATGCCTCGCGTCGCGCTTCTTCTGCGCGACAGTGTTCGAGCGTTGTTTTGCGCGGCCCGATGGTTTTGTTCTGTCTCCATAGAGCGCGGGCCTGGCACGGCACGCGTGCACGGCACGGCACGGCACGCGGGCGGCACACTTTGCGCACGGGGCGGGGGCAGGCCACGCGGGCTCGGCAGGGCACACGGGTTCGGCACACGGGCACGATACGGCACGGCACGGCACGGCACGCCACTCGGGCGGCATTTTACTCGCAGTCTAGAACGTGGGCACGGCGCGGAATGCGGTCACGGCACGGCACGGCACGGCACGGCAAGGCACGGCGAGGCACGCGGGTGGCACATTGTTCGCGTTCTAGATCTTGGAGACCTCTTCTTATCATGTCAGCCAGCGTGGACCCCAGACCGTGTGTTCTGGCCGTCTATGCTGTGCAACCTATGTGATGTATTCTCTGTGGTGTAATCCATGTTGGTCGTTGAATGGTTTGTGCAATATACGTGGTGCGATCGATATGGTGCAATCTATGTGGTGCAGTTCGCTTGTGGAGTTCGCAGTTGTCAGCTCCATTGCTCGCACAATCATCTCACCCACCCACCCGCAACTTGTTTTGCAGAAAGCATGCGGCGGCGATTGCGATGAGTGCACGGAGGAGGAGGAGGAGGAGGAGGAGGAGGAGGAGGAGGAGGAGGAGGAGGAGGAGGAGGAGGAGGAGGGGAGGGGGAGGAGGAGAAGGAGGAAGGAGGAGGAGGAGGAGGAGGAGGAGGAGGAGGAGGATGAGGAGGAGGAAGAGGAGGAGGAGGAGGAGGATGAGGAGGAGGAGGAGGAGGAGGAGGAGGAGGATCGCAGGGACCGTCTTTTCAAAACAGGACCCAACACCACAGGATGGTAGGGGAAAAAGAGTTTTTTCGTGGTGATTCCAGGTTTCCCATAATTCGAATTCGAGGTTTCCCATAATTCGTTTTTTTGCTGTTGGAAGAAATTGGGTTTCACAGAATTCCGAAGCATGGGAAACGTGGAGACGCAACGAAAACAATTTTTTTTTCCTGGTGGGTTTCCCATAATTCGAGCCCCTCATTTGAGGGGCGGGAGGCGGCATTTTCCTTCCCGCAATGCGGAATGTTCCCCGTAATTGGAATTCAGAGTTTTGGGAAGCCAAGGGGGAGAGGCTGCTGGGAGGTTTGACTTGGGGGAAACCTGGTATCACAATGAATAAGGGTGTTTTTTTCCGTCGTGATTCCAAGTTTTCCATTTTCCATAATTCGAATAAGGTTTTCCATAATTCGAGTTCTGGGAAACCTGGAATCACTACGAAAAGCAGGGGTGTTTTTGAGCCGATTCCAGGTTCCCCATAATTCCGTGTTTTGGGACACTTGGAATCACAACGGGCAACTTATTTTTTTCGTTGTGATTCCGTCTTTCCCATAATTCGAGCCTCTCATGGGGGAAACGTGGGGCGGCAGTTGCCGCGATGCGGAAGGTTCAACGTGGGGGAAATCCGCTGATGGGGTCGAATTACGAGAAATTTGGAATCACAGCGAAACACAAGGTTTTCTGTTGTGATTCCAAGGCTCTCATAATTCGAGTTCGAGGGTTCCCATACTTCGAACAATTCGAAGCTTGGAATCACTACGAAAGCCATGGTTTTTGAGCAGATTCCGGGATTCACATAATTCAGAATTATGGGGCAACTGGGATTACAACGAACAGCCAACCTTTTTCGTTGCGCTTCCAGGTTTCCCCTAACTTGAACACCTTATTTGGGGAAGTGGGGGGCGGCAGTTTCCCGCAATGCGGGAGGTTCCCCGTAATTCGAACTCCGAATTTTGGGAAACCAAGGGGTAGAGGCCGCTGGGGGCTTCGAATGACGGGAAACCTGGAATCACAATGAAAAAGGGTGTTTTTTCGTGGTGATTCCACGTGTCCCAGTTTCCCTTAGTTCGAATGAGGAGAAACCCAGACTCACTACGAAATAAGAGAGGTTTTTGAGCCGATTCCGGGCTTCCCATAATTCCGAAGCATGGGAAACTTGGAATCACCACGACAAGCCATCCTTTTTCGTGGTGCAATCGGGTTTCCCTTATAATTCGAAGCCCTCATTTGGGAAAGCGGGGGGCAGCAGTTTCCCGCGATGCGGAAGGTTCCCCGTAATTCGAATTCAGAATTTCCAGAAACCAAGGGGGAGAGACCGCTGGTGGGTTCGAATTACGGGAAACTTGGAATCACTAGGAAAACATGGTTTTCGAGCCGATTCCGGGTTTCCCATAATTCCGAAAGATGGGATACCTGTAATCACAACGAAAAGCCAGCCTTTTTCGTTGTGCTTCCGGGCTTCCCATAATTCGAACCCCTCATTTGGAGAGCGGGGGGCGGCAGTTTCCCACAATGCGGAAAGTTCCTCGTAATGCGAATTCAGACGACGGGCGGCGACGAGGCGGCGACGGGGCGGCGACGGCGGCCACATAGCCGCCAGACCGAAGACTCGTCCCACTGCCTTAGAACAGAAGTAAGAACCCCTAAGTGCAAGCACTGTTTGGGGAATGTAGTACACGGGGATCCCTGTTGCATTCGTTGTGTTGGAAAAAACGCCATGCGCATAAACTTTTGTATGCCCGCTTTGGTCTTGGGTCTGCGTTGGAGACCCCTGGCGGCGCTTCTGGCGCGGCCCCTGGCGCGCTCCGCGCGCTAACGAGAGAGGGGGTCCAGTGCCGACTTGAGGAATTAACGCCGAATTGCGAATGTTTATGCCGATGAAGATTACAGCGCACACGGTGAAGTTCCCCAATGGGGATTGCCGCAGCATGGTCCTCATCATGTTGTGCGTCAGCAACCTGCAGGCCTTAAGCGAGGGCAGACTCGGGAATGGCCACCATGTGTCTTTTCACTGGCCAGAACTGCGGTGGAACGCGCGGATGTCGGACAGATCTGGGGCCCCAGAGGGGCCCCAGACCCTTGTGTTCCCCGCCCGAGTCGAGAATTCATGCCCGCGCGTATATGTATATTACTAAGGCCTTACGGCCAGTGCCGCCGACCCTGGATACCTCGGCCCTCGAGGGTGACGGGATGCGTGATAAGACGTCGGAGGTAAATGAAGACGTGGCGGAGGAGGAGGCGGAGGAGGAGGAGGAGGAGGAGGAGGAGGAGGAGGAGGAGGAGGAGGAGGAGGAGGAGGAGGAGGCGGAGGAGGAGGAGGAGGAGGAGGAGGAGGAGGAGGAGGAGGAGAGGAGGAGGAGGAGGGGGAGAGGGAGGGAGAGCGTCGCCCGGGGGGATGCGTATCTGTCCCCCCCCCCCCCACATTTCCCTTCCCTCCCCCCCCCCCCAGTGGGGAGGGTAGGGAGGAGCTTCGCCACGACTACGATTTCCTTTTGTTTCGTGTTCGATTACCTTTTATTTCGGGCGACGACGATGACGACGACGACGACGACGACGACGACGACGACGACGACGACGACGACGACGACGACGACGACGACGACGACGACGACGACGACGACGACGACGACGACGACGACGGTGATCCACGCAAGACGACGACACCGGGATGCGTCTTCCACACGCCGACAGGGTCGGCGGATTATATCCGGCTGCCTCTGGCAATTCCGCCACCGCACCAGCGCAGCATCCTGGGTGGCAGCTACCCCCAGAGAGACGCCATGGCCGCCTAGGGACCCCCCGGAGTAGGGGTGGTGCACTCAAGTTGACGCGACTTGAGGGGTGGGTGGGCCACTTAGGAGACTACAAAAGCCCTGCCAGGCAGCACTTGGCATTCTTCCGCGCCTCAACGTGACAGGAGGCACGGTTGCCGTCCGCCTCGGACGCAAGTCTTACCGTGGGTCCGTGGGTTTGCCGTGGTGCCAGCTTCGTCGAGTTGGGCGTGCTCAGGACAAACGGCGCGGCGACTTATGTGTATACGTGTATACAGACATATATACACATTTATGCAGAGATACCTATATTATGAATTTATGTCTGTGCCGATCCTCCTCCCTCGAAGGAGGCCGCCAGGCTGCGGGAGCTGAGCCTCCAGCGCCAGCTGGCCGAGGCCTCCGCCGGCCACGCCGCACCGGCGGCCGCCACCGCGCCGTCCGCGAGGCGGAACGGGTGGCCGCCGCCCGCGGCGCGGGGAGCGGAGGCCCTCGCCGAGGCCGACTGGGGCGCGCCAGGCTCGGGAGCACGTCGCCTCATCCTCCGCCTCCGCCTCCGCCTCCGCCTCTTCCTCCGCATCCTTCTGCTTCTCCTCCTCTCCTCACTGAAATAAGAGAGGTCGCCTCTGTTTGGCCCGAGCGTCGACGCATATCTTCTTGTGGTATGATGAGTAAGACCCCCGCAATATACATCTTATTGCCGCCATGTTTTTTTGAGATGCAGCTTCCAACCCTCGCAAGTCTAGTTGGTAACGGAGCTGGGAGCGATCCCAGCTCTCGATCCACGGAACGTGTGAAGAGTGCGGTGTGGACGCAAGTTCGCACTTACCTTTATCTCCGCATCGATACCACCCTCCATTCCTTGAGGAGCCTGTGCTTACGGCTGTTCTGCAAGCCAATGGACAATTCGCTTCGGACCCGATTCGACTGCGAGGGCAACAGCAGAAGGCGCAACCGCGATGAACGAATCGCCCACAGGAGCGCCGGTACGTTTCTCGACCCATCGCGACCCCACAAGCACTGGTCGTAGTTTCGCATCGGGCATGACTGCGAGGCTCCTTCCTGGGCTAGCGCCTTGCCTCGGTACGTGTGCGATAGTGCTGTCTGTCCTGGTGAACTCATCGCACCACCCGTGTGGAACATTGCAAGCCAATTTTCAAGTTTCACCGTCTTCGGCTTCGACCAAGGTTGACAACGGCATCATCAGGCTGCCCCGCACTTCGACATGGCGTTCGTCCCTGCGCAGGCCCGAGTCCAATGGCGCCTGCGCAACCATCATCGTGGTGAGGTTTTATCGAGGAGGGTATCCATCTTGACGTTCTGGGGCAGCATCCTCGTGTTCTTCGTGGCCGTCCTGTTCTGGCTCACGGGCATGATGCCTGGTGGAGTTTGTCCACAGGGCGGCGTTGATCGGGGAGCTACCACACACCACATCCCGCCAGCCGCCCTCATGGTCACCCGAGCGCGAGTCTGTGCATTGGGTACAACATGTACTCGCTTGGAGCGTGCCAGCCACCGACATGGGCAACACTCAACACTGTGCTGCCGTCATCCTCAACCTCGGTGGGGCCGCCCACATTTTGAAAAAGAGCCGTGCTCAATTCGTGAAGGTCTTGCTGATGTCAAGACGAGTGTGCGCGGTGCAAAGGCGAAGGCCTCAGTTTGAAAAGGAGCCGCCTTCAATCCGTGCGTGAAGCTCTTCCACATGTCCTAAGACGGATGTGAGCGGCGCGAAGGCGAGAACCACATTTTGAACATGGTCTTCCCTCAACATGTGAAGCTGCTGCAAGTTTATCAGACGCACGTGGGCGACGCTAAGGCCAGAACCACATTTTGAAAACCACCCGCCCTCCATCCGCCGAACTTGTGCACATTTTAAAGCTTCAGGAACAACCTTGGCAATAAACTCTTGGGCGGAACGCCTGGCCCGCCTTTTCGACCAGCCTCGGGGTGCGACAGGGAGGGGTTATTTATACGGAGGAGGAATGGAGGAGGAGGAGGAGGAGGAGGAGGAGGAGGGGGGGGAGGAGGAGGAGGAGGAGGAGGAGGACGAGGAGGAGGAGGGAAGAGGAGGAGGAGGAGGAGGAGGAGGAGGAGGAGGAGGAGGAGGAGGAGGAGGAGGAGGGGGAGGAGGAGGAGGAGGAGGAGGAGGAGGAGGAGGAGGAGGAGGAGGCGGAGGAGGAGGAGGAGGAGGAGGAGGAGGGGGGGAGGAGGAGGAGCAGGAGGAGGAGGGGGGGGGAGGAGAAGGAGGAGGAGGGGGGGGGATGATGATAATAATGATAATGATGATGAGGAGGAGGGAAACTAACATTCAACTTGGTTACAATACTAGTAGTAATAAGTCTACAAATCGCGCTAGTATCAAATATCACGAATAATAGTATCATCACGAAATAATCACACAACTATTATTGAACATATTACTGCGGAGAAACAAGGAGAATCATATAGATGGTTGTAATCATAATGATGCTACTAAGGAAAAATACTTGTAATACTAGTAATGAGAATATTAACAATCATGGAATACTAATAATGGAAGTGCCAATGACACCGATGATAATATCATTGGTACTAACGAGAATGATAATATTAAGCGGAATGCAAATAAGGAAGAAGAGGAGGACGTACCCAGGGCTTCCTCCTCCTTCTGTTTATATTTTGTTCCTTCTTCTTCTTCTTCCTCTTCTTCTTGTTTCTTTTCTTTTTCAACGTAAGACCAACTTGAGCTGTTGGGCTGTAGCCTCCTCCTCCTCTTCCTCCTGCAGCGAACCGCCGCCAGGCGCTAGGCCCACCTGGCGCCCTTGCCGCGCGGAGGTCGACCTTGTGGCTCTCGGGGAGGCTGCGCCCCCCGCTGCGGAACGGCAGCCCGAGCTGCCGCGCCCGGCGCGGGCGAGCGACAGGCAGATTGGCGTGCTGCCGGCGGGCGCGGCTTGGGCGCCCGCGTGCCGCGGTGGCGCGGCGGCGGCGGAGGAGCTTCGGAGGTCCCCAAGTAGAGGGCCTCGATTTCGGCGGCGGGGCGCCCGAAATCGGGCAGCGGAAGATGGCCGCTGTTATCCCTGCCAGTTCTTCGTTCCCCACAACTGCTTTCTGGGCACCTGCAGCGGCCCAGCAGCACGGGACACACGGGCGCGCGCAGGCGCTGGAGCCTCCCTCGCGTCGTGAGCAAGCTCGCAACCGGATGCGGCTTTCCAGGAACGACTCCAGATGAGAAGCCGGTGCCCGGGAATGGGTCCCCACGGGCGTTCGCGGTTCGGTGGGCGGTTGCGTCGCAGTCAATTGCGTTCGGTCGGTGCGGTTCGATCGGTTCTTGTGTCGTTGCCGCGTCGCTGCTCCCTTCTAGGCTGCTTTCGGCCTGTCGATTTGGGTCGGTTTCGCTTTCGCTGTCGGTTCGGTCGGTTGTCGCTTGTGCTGTCGCCGTGCACGGCCTTGGTCCTGACCTACAGGGGTTTACGTTGTGAATAAAACCTGACGTCGGGGGTAAGGGGAGGTCGCCAGCTGTGTTCGGCCAGAGTGGCCTTTGTGGTGCGGGGTCGCACCAGCGCTGGCTCGAAGCGGCTTGCGCGCTTGGATCTTATGCGCCCCCGCTGCCTTCGAGAGGCACGCACAAAAAATCATTCGTGCACGGGGCCATTTTTGCGTGTAGCCGATGTGCATTTGCACCAGGTCGTGGGCAGGCCAGCCCTGGGCCTGGGGTCGGTGTGATAATAGGGGGGAGGAGGAGGAGGAGGAGGAGGAGGAGGAGGAGGAGGAGGAGGAGGAGGAGGAGGAGGAGGAGGAGGAGGAGGGGGAGGAGGAGGAGGAGGAGGAGGAGGAGGAGGAGGAGGAGGAGGAGGAGGAGGAGGAGGAGGAGGAGGAGAGAGGAGGAGCAGGAGAAGAGGAGGAGGAGGAGGAGGAGGAGTAGGGGGAGGAGGGAGGGGGAGGAGGAGGAGGAGGAGGAGGAGGAGGAGGAGGGGAGGAGGAGGAGGAGGAGGAGGAGGGGGAGGAGGAGGAGGAGGAGGAGGAGGAGAGGAGGAGGAGGAGGAGGAGGAGGGGTACACATCATGCGGCTGGCCTGGGTAAGAGCAGGGTACCCTGACAGGATCTGTGCGTTGCAGTGTTTTGCGCACCGGGCGTTTTCGCGCAGTCTCGGGCTCCGGGATCTTCACGGGTCGATCTGGCGCGAGAGATGCCGCAGGAAGGCGGGGTCGAGAGCCCTGGTTCTGATTTGTCGCGACGTCAGATCTCATGGTGCACACGTGGCCAGATGTTTCTCCGGCGCTCGGCCCTTCCATGGCCAGGTGCGCCAAGCTTCCTGGTGTGCATCCAACGCGTGTCCTCTGGATGTTCTCCGCGTTTTGATCCAGCCATTTGTGTCCCAGCCTCTTGGCACACACGCACTACGCCAGCCCTGGGCACGTCCCAGGATTGGTGCAGTTCGCCTTCCTGGCCAGGCCCCAGAGGGCGTATACACCGGTCCTTCGGACGTAGTTCGTAGCGTGGCTCCCCTGAGGTCTGGACCCCTTCCCAGGGGCTGGCTTTTCACCCTGAGTCGTGTTGTGACAGTCCCAGGGCCCGGCGAGGGCCCCTGGACGCCGAAGGCTATCAAGCTCTTCCCGTCGTGATTTTTTGTCACGACGAGCAGAGGCCCGGGGTGGGGGGGCCGTGCACGCAGGTCCTGGGCCCAGGATGCGGCGTGGGCAGGGCCAGCGCAGGTGTGCAGCTGGACCCCTCTCAGGAGCCGACGCCGCCGCCGTCGCCGCGGTGGCCGAGCCCGTTGCCCGCCAGGCGGCGGCTGGCGCCCGCCGCGGCGGAGACGCCGGGGCCGCGCAAGATCTCCGTGGACCTGCTTGGCGCGCGCGGGGGCGGCCCAGAGACGAGCGAGTGGGGTGGCGTTACCCCCATCGGGGGGGGGGGCGGGAGGGGGCAGGGCCTGGGGGTGGTGGTGGGATAGCACGGCCATGGCTGGGGCTATGATGTCTCGCCAGGACTTTATGGCCCCCTCGTCTTTTTCCCCACATCCTGAGTGGGGTTTTTGGTTTTCCAATACGTCCTCTCCTTCTCCTTCCCGCCTCCCGCCCGTCCCACCCCTCCAGGGAGGCCCCGCCTGAGCGAGGAGGGTATCGGAAAACCATACTATTTACATGGTTTCGTGCCCCTCCCACCCCTCCAGGGAGGCCCCGCCTCAGCGAGGAGGGTATCGGAAACCCATACTATTTACATGGTTTCGTGCCCCTCCCTCCCCTCCAGGGAGGCCCCGCCTGAGCGAGGAGGGTGTCGGAAAGCCATGCTATTCACATGGTTTCGTGCCCCTCCCACCCCTCCAGGGAGGCCCCGTCTGAGCGAGGAGGGTATCAGAAACCCATACTATTTACATGGTTTCGTGCCCCTCCCTCCCCTCCAGGGAGGCCCCGCCTGAGCGAGGAGGGTATCAGAACCCCGTACTATTTACATGGTTTCGTGCCCCTCACACCTCTCCAGGGAGGCCCCGCCTGAGCGAGGAGGGTATCGGAAAGCCATGCTATTTACATGGTTTCGTGCCCCTCCCTCCCCTCCAGGGAGGCCCCGCCTGAGCGAGGAGGGTATCGGCAACCGATACTATTTACATGGTTTCGTGCCCCTCCCACCCCTCCAGGGAGGCCCCGCCTTAGCGAGGAGAGTGTCGGAACGCCATGCTATTTACATGGTTTCGTGCCCCTCCCACCCCTCCAGGGAGGTCCCGCCTGAGCGAGGAGGGTATCGGAAACCCATGCTATTTACATGGTTTCGTGCCCCTCCCACTGACGTGGGTGAGGAGGAGGGGGAAACATTACATATCCATCTCACGTCCTACTCCTCCCACTGAGGAGGGGGAGGAGGAGGGGGAGTTCTGCTATGAGGAAGGCTTCATCATGATGATGGTGATGACGATGGCTATGCTGCCGTCCACGATGACGATGACGATGGTGATAATGGTGATGGACGATGACGATGGCGATAACGGCGATTATGATGATGATGATGATGATGATGATGATGATGATGATGATGATGATGATGATGATGATGACGATGATGATGATGACGATGACGATGATGACAACGACGACGACGAGGATGATGATGCAGGTGCTGGTGATGATGACGATGCTGCTGCTGATGCTGACGTTGCTGGTGCTGTTGATGATGATGACGACGATGATGCTGATGATGATGATGCCGTCCACGATGATGCGGACGATGATGATGCCGAGGACGGTGATGGTGATGATGACGACGACGATGATGATGATGATGATGATGATGATGATGATGATGACGATGATGGCGACGACGACGATGATGATGATGATGGTGATGATGATGATGATGATGATGATGACGATGACGCTGACGATGATGATGACGATGCTGATGATGATGAGGATGATGATGCTGATGATGGTGATGATGATGCCGATGATGCTGATGACGATGATGATGATGATGATGATGATGATGATGATGCTGATGATGATGATGATGATGATGATGATAGTGGTGGTGGTGATGATGATGATGATGATGCTGATGATGATGATGATGATGATGATGCTGATGCTGATGATGATGATGATCATGATGGTGATGATGATGATGATGATGATGATGATGATGATGATGATGATGATGATGATGATGATGATGATGATGATGATGATGATGATGATGATGATGATGATGATGATGATGATGATGATGATGATGATGATGATGATGTGGTGGTGGTGGTGGTGATGATGATGATGCTGATGCTGATGATGCTGATGATG